ATACATTAGTGGTAATGGAGGCTGCAAAGTGCATTGAGGCCAAAATTCTGGTCCATTTATTGGTGAAATGGAGTTTTCATATGCTCTTTTATATGAGTCAACACTGTAACAGTGATGAACATATTGCTCAGGGTCTTCATGCCTACACCAAATGGCAGAAATGGCATGTTTGCAAGGGATACCTGTCAAATACCATCTACTACAGCTGCAACTCTTTGCTCATATGTCAACAGTATGCTGATCATATATCCCCATTATCTGAAAATTACACTCATCTGATTTCATTGTGATGCACTCACCAGCCTCTTTCATATTCTTTATCAAGACAGTTCTGATCATGGGACAAATGTTTGTATCCCATTTTAGAGTTGTTTCCCTATTCAACACCATTCTAGTCATCAACAAATTTGTTATACACTCAAGCATTGGTATTATTGGTTTCTCTCTTGCATCAAGGATGAAAGAGTTAAAGCACTCACACATATTGTTCAACAAGATATCAAATTTCGGAAATGGATTGAAATGAGACCTGTCCAATCCTGAGGCTTCTTCACTAACCAATTGTATGCATCTTCATCTATAGCCCTCAGTTGCTCCATTCTCCTCTTGAAATCTTCAACTCTAGTGGCTTTTGCATCTGCCCACAGTGCACTCTTAATTGCCATACCCCCAAACCCATCATTCTTCATATTACTGTGTAAGCGGGGATAAGTCCCTTTTGTTTGTCAGACATAAATGTCCACTTGTGTTGTTCCTCAAAGCCAATGTCTAACAACTGAAGGAACCACATACAGGTTTCCTTAGTTTCACCTCCAACAATAGCATAACAAATTGGGTATATGTTATTGTTTGGATCCAACCCAACTGCAGTCAATAATTGTCCACCCCTCTGTCCTTTCAAAAAACTCCCATCCACCCCTATGACAGTTCTACAAGCATTCTTGAACTCCTCTTTGCAAGCGAAAAGCAAATGTACAATCTTTGAAACCTCAAACCTTCTGTGTCCTTTGTCAATTTTAAAACAACAATGGCACTTGTGTCTGTTCTTTTGAGTTCTTCACAGTAAGATCTTATTTTTTGAAATTGTTCTTCTTCTGAACCTTGAATAGCCTTTAGTGCCTTTTACTTTGCCCTATAGGCTTGAGATTTGGAGACACTTGCTTTCAAAGTTGTGCGCACTTCATTTCTAAACTCATTTGTGCCTAACTTAGGATTTTCTTTGAATTTTTTCATGAAAGTTTTACCAATCCAGTTTGACTTGAGGCTGCTGTTGTTGTAGTTCCAATAACAGTTGTTATGGTCAGACGCGTAAGTTTTGATTTGCCAAGTCTTGTCATTTTGCATTGGAGAAACATGTATTGACCATTTGCAACCATCATTCTTACAACAGGCCCTCAGCCTTCTACTGTCATTCTTGTAAAACTTGATCATCATCCCCTAAGGCAGTGGCTCTCTATAGCAAAGTTTGCTTCTTTGTTTTGAAGAAAAAACCAACCCAAGCTTTAACTCAGGGTTTTTATTGTCAGTTTTAGGATTAAACTTGGGGAATTTAACCCTATGTTCATCATCAGAGCCACAATCACTGCCCATTGAGTCACTATTAACACAGTCATCATCACCTTCTTCATTAAGCATCCTAGTATACATATCATTTGAGACAAATTCAGAGACCTTATCTTTACCCTTTGATTTAACCCCACCAAACTCAGCATCTGGATCTACATAGGCTTCAAACAACTTGTCATCTTCTTCAAAGTCATAATCACTATCATAAAACTCATCACCATCTTCCTCACTGTCACTCTCATTGCTTAATTCAGGTTCAACATTGGGTAATTCAGGTAAAACATTGTCAGTTTGCTCATCAGTAATGACTGATGATGCAACTTGACTTTGCAAGGTAGGTACCACATTCACAGTTTCTTCTAACCCCAACTGTTCTAAGTATATCTCAACTTCATAGTTAATAGGTTCCATAGAAGCAACATCCGTATCAGTTTCCAAGTACCTACCCATATTCAGATTTGCCCCAAATTTGTACCAAAATTTAATTTTTTTCCTATCAGAATACCCCAACTCCCGTGACATTATCCACATATCAAGTATCCTCATCTCCGCAGGTTTTGAAAAATCAAAAACTCCTCACTCCCATCTATGTAGCTCATTTCTAGACCATGTTTCAGTACCCCCCCCCCATTATACACTTTTAACAGTACACCAGGTACTTATTCCAATTCTTTTTGAAAATGATTTTTTGCCACAAGAAGGGAAAAAGAAATTATATCAGCAACATTGTAAATGACAGGAACAGTACATTAGGGTTCAAGTTGAGTCCAAAATACCGTAATTTGGCGCAAATCCACCAGGGAATTTGCTTCTTCGCGACATGGCCTTCGAAAAATTCCTCTTTTCTTGTTGTTTCTTCTTCGACCCAAAAATAAATCACCAACAACAACTTAGGGTTACGTTGAATCGGCAGAGTATTTGGGGAATTTGTTAGAGAGAGAGAGAGAGAGCGTAGAGAGAGATATGAAAAATTTGGGGAAAAAATCACAAATTAAACCCTAATTTCAAGTCACGTGCGTGGCACGTGACGGTTAAGTGAGACGGTCAAACAGGTGGCAGGACCAAATGTGTTAAAATGTGGTAAAACGAGAGTGTATTTTGTTGACTGCGATAAATGGCTGACCAAAACAGAAAAAGGGAAAACTTGGGGGACCAAAAATGTAATTATCCCTACTCCCTCTACCCCTAATTTAATAGATATTTTATTAATATTGGAGAACATAATAATGGACAATATGGAAAATAAATAAGCGGAAATGAGGGATAACCCCCTAGGTTTGAAAATATATATGGATAAGTCCTATTGATTTTTCTTTCCTAGTCAAAAACCCGAATTCTAATCTTAATTTGATAGACCCCCCTAGATAAATTAAAATACCTATTTTACCCTTTTAATTTCATTCAAACCCTAACTCCCTAGCCTTTTCTCCCACTCCCACTCCCACATCTATCAGCCGACATTTATCCCCCCTCTCTCTCTTTCTCCCTTTCTCTCTCTCTCTTCATCTCTCTCTAACTCTCGCTCTACCCACAGTCCACCGTCGCCGCCGCTGTTCCCTCCCCTCGTTGCGCCGCCGCCGCTGCTCCCCCACCTCGTTGTGCCGCCGCCGCTGCTCCCCCACCTCGCTGCGCCGTTGTTGCCGCTCCGCTACCTCGCAACGCCGCCGTCGCCACTCCCCTACCTCGCAGCGCCGCCGCCGCTCCTCTACAAAAAAATATTGATACCAATTACCGCAAATACACTCTCAAATCCAACCACAAAGATCAACACAGGTCACTTTCTTCTTCTGTATTATTCATTATTCTCCTCAGATCAGATCCTCACATTATTATCATTTTGATTTGATTAATTAGCTGTCTCATTATTAGATCTACTATTATTTTTAAAATTAGATCTACTATTTTTTAAGATATGTGAATAATTAATATTAAAATATTTTTCTTTGGATTAATTTGATTTTTTATTTCGTTTGATTCTTATGTTGTTTATTTTTGTTATAAATGATTTTTGTCATAAATATTTTTTATTTCGTAACAATTAGTGGCATTGAGTTTGAATTTTTGGTGTTTTTGTTTTGATTTTGGGGCAATGATTGGGAGATTTGTAGCTTTTTGGCTAAGGTAGCTAATCTGTAACTTTTATTTTGTTGGTTATGAGTTGATTTATAATGTAAATGTTTAAATGGGTGATTTGAGTCAGGTGAATATACAATTATATTTAGTCATATACAGTCATATGTAGTCATATATAGTCATATATTACAGTCATATATAGTCATATATTACAGTCATATGTAGTCATATATAGTCATATATTACAGTCATATATAGTCATATATTACAGTCATATGTAGTCATATATAGTCATATATTACAGTCATATATAGTCATATATTACAGTCATATGTAGTCATATATAGTCATATATTACAGTCATATGTAGTCATATATAGTAATATATTACAGTCATATATAGTCATATATTACAGTCATATGTAGTCATATATAGTCATTTGTATTCGATTTCAGTTAAGTAAATTTATCAACAAAAAAAAAATTATGTTTTTTTGTATTTTTCATGTAATCTAACTCGCATGTTCCATTTGGCTCTTTAACTCGTATTTTTTTGTCGCAGGTTTTGCTTTTATTATGCTTTTATGATATGCAGGGAATAAGATGCGATGAAGTGCCTAATGAAGTTGGATTCATGCTACAGTAGTCTAGACTTTATGTCACTATATATTAATATAGATAATTGTAGATAACTATAGTCACCTGTAGTAACATATAGTTATATGTATGTTATAGGTTTTTTAATGTGTTCATGTTTGAAGAATATATGCATGTGATTGTATTTTTTTTATTTTTTGTTTGTTAGTTGATTTATAATATCAAGATCTAAATTGTGAATTTTTTTTATTAGTGTAGATGAATTTTGGGGTAAAAAGAGAATACATGACTATATATAACTATACTTTCAGTTCGGGAATTTTACTAAAATTTGAATTAATAAAAAAAAAATTAAAAATTAAAAAAATTAAAAAAAAATTAAAAAATTAAAAAAATTGAAATATTGAAAAAATCGAAATATTAAAAAAATCGAAATATTAAAAAAAAAATATTTTATAAAAAAATATACTACTAATAAAAAAAGTTACAATATATGTACAGGAATAAAAAAATATTAAATTAAAAATTATGATATATGCAGTACAAAAATATTAAATGCAGGTTCAAAATGATAAATGCAGCTGGTGAAAATGCTGAATGCAGTTGGGCGAAAATTGCAAATAAGGGCACAATAGTACTTTTGCCTCTCCAGGGGTGTATCTCAAAGAAAGATTTTTAGGGGTGGACCTATGCCATATATTTTCCATATGAGGGGTGTATATCAAATGGACCCAATAAATAATTAATTCTCATTGGAAGAAAGGAACTTCAAATAATTTGGGCAAAGCAATCCCGTTAAAACAACATGCAATTAGAGAAAGAGGGAGTATTAGGATAGATATATATATATATATATATATATATATATATATATATATATATATATATATATATATATATATATATATATATATATTCTTTGAATTAATAATACACATCAAGTAAAACTAATTCCATAAAACAGAAGGAAACAACGAAATTCAAATAAACTTTGAAATTTATTATTATATCAAAAACTTCAAATAATTAATGGCTATAAATTAAACAACATAATTCAAACATTACCAATATCAGGAAAATAATTAATAATCTTTATTTTGAGACACTTTGCGATCTGATCTTCGGACAAACCATCGCTACTATTATTATTATCGATCGCCGTCGTCCGATCGTCTTGTTCAACAAATCTTGGATGTTGATCGTTGTTGGATAAGTAGTGGTATGCTAGAGGGACAAAGGGGGAATAAGGGAGAAGAATAGAGGGACAAAGGGGGAACAAAACTCATTATTATTGTGTAATAGAGTAATATTACTATGTTGACCATTCAACAAATGTAAACATAATAAAAAGCCAAAAGAATTAATATTATTGTGAGTGACAGAAATATTACTATAACAACGGTAATATTACAATAATAGACAGTAATATTATTACGCTACTTCGTGAATAACTCAAACAAACAAAAAAATTCAAACAAAATAATAATATTGATGTGGTTGACAGCAATATTACTATAACAATAGTAATATTATCGTCAACCACAGTAATATTATTGTGTTTACAGTAATATTACAATAATAAACAGTAATATTATTAGTTACTCCGTAAATAACTCAAACAAAATAAAAAACCCAAAAACATAATAATATTCATGTTGCTGACGGTAATATTATTGTGTTTACAGTTATTTTACTGTCAACGACAGTAATATAATTACGTTGACTTGTCAACAAATCAAACAAAATAAAAAAAAATAACAAAAAATAAAAAACAATAATAGTACGTTAATATACTGTCAATGGCAGAACAATTACATAAATGTATTGTCAACGGCAGTACAATTACGTTAATTAACTGTCATTGATTATATAATTACATTAATTTACTGTTAGTGACAGCACAATTACGGTTAAAGTTTAGCGGCTTACCTAAAAAAACAAAAAAAAATAGAAAAAAAAAAAAACTAAAACCGGAATCCGGTTGCAAAAAAAAATTTTTGAAAAAAAAAAGTTTGAAAAGAAAACGTCCAAAATTGGATTTTTCTGGTTAAAATTGGATTTTTGTGGTCAAAATTGGATTTTTGTGGACAAAATTGATTAAATTGGGGTTACAATTAAGAATTGGTTATAAAGGTTTGGGGGTAATATTGTCATATACATGAATATTTCCTTTATTTATAATAAATATTAAAGGGATGGACTTATGCTGAAAGAGATATAGCCCATAAACCTAGAATAATAAAGATGCTTGGTTAGGGACTTATCCACAAAAACCGCTTAAATTGTTGACTAGGACAAATGTATAGTTTTTAGAAATGCTAGTGAGAATTTTATTAAATTTGCTAGTATAGATTGCTTTTATCTGAAACATTTTTTTTTTTATTTTGCCTTAACTATATAGAGAGAAAATTAAAAAACTTGAGTTTTGTAAACAAAATATGTTGAAAATTGCATAAATCAGCCCCACCCCCAAATATACTAAAAACGCATGAAGTACCCCAAAGGATCGATGTTGAAAATCACACAAATTACCCTTAAATGTGCTGAAAATCGCACAAATCACCCCAAAAAAATATCATAATTATCGTATTGTATCAGATACTATATCTTATCGTGGTATAGAGCGATATTTATTTGGATTTTATAACAAATAAATTAAAAAAATGTATGCTCTCGGTGATCGTAACTTCTTGTATATAAATAGATCTGAAGTTTAAATATTTCTTTTTTTTTAACCTTATATTTCTGGGTGGAAATCGTAATGGAATTTTCGAGTTCCGTGATTCCGATTCGAAAATATCCGAATTTGGAACCGTAATTTTTTCATTTCGATTTCCGATTCTTCCGAATTTATTTGGAATGGAATTGGAATGCTAAATAAAGTTAAAGGAAATTCCGATTTTCGATCCGATTTTAACTTCAAATATTTCTATGGTCTTACAAAATATATAATATGATTTTATGATATTTTTGTAATTCCATAATATAACTTATGTTAAATTTATATGAAAAATATAAATACCAAATGATCAAGTAAATTAAAACCTTAGAAAAGATTAATTGGTATAAGAAAATTTATGTTGTATTTTTTCGTATAAGAAAATCTACGTTTCAAATTTGTTGTTCCTACATTTGTATGTTCTTGTATTTTCCTGCAAAATTTCACAAAAAGATATAAAAATATTGTGAAAAAATATGTTGTATCCAAATTTGAAACAAGAGATCACAAACTAACTTAATTTTTTAAATTTCCGAAATTGTAATGAACTTTGCATTCCGATTTTTTTGAAAATGAAATCGGAACCCATTTTTTACTTCCGAAATTTTTTAATTTTTTTCCGAAAAAACAATTTCCAATCTATTCCGTCCGATTTCCACCCCTAGTTCTAAGGAATCACCACGGTACGTAATATAAAATAATAATAAGAATAATAATAATAAATAATCATAGAAATTCGAAGAGGCGGTCATCTTATAACATACAACGGTACTCAAACAAAAATTTCCTAATTTAAAAGAAGAGCATTAAGGCAAGAATAAGGTAAGACAGAGATTCAAACTTATATTACATATCAGCAGTTATTAATTACACTGAGACTTTCTTTTATGGCAGGTAATTAATTAATTAATTAAATATATAGCGTACAAACTACAAATCACATCATCCTATAAAAGGGCTTCATATGTAGGGTTTCTTGCATACTCTCTCATTTTTCTCTCTCACAAGCAATTATATATTTTTCTTTAATGGCTCACCTTCGTAGATTCAACTTCTCCGCAGAATTTCAGCGCGCCGCCGCCTTTCATCATCCCCCGCCGCCACCGCCGCCGCTGCCATGGCCCATTCCAGGCCGTATTTTCCCCACCGCCCACGGCTATGTTCTGATTCCTTATTCGCCATACATCCCTCCACAGCACTACTGCATGTCGTCCAACAATTATTATGCGGCGACGACGACGACGAGGAGGTCAACGTATCATGTTCAAGAAGAAGACCAAACCCTGATTTTTAATGCAAGTAATATTCATCATCATCCACGTCAGCAACAACAAGCAAGAAGAGGAGTTCAACATGCAGATCGGACCGCCGGCGGTTTGTCCGAAGATCAGATCACAAAGTGTCTGAAAATAAAGATTAATATAAATTCTTGCCGCGATATTGTTAATATTATTCGAGACGGCCTGGAAGAGAGTGACGTTTGTGATTTGTTTCGATGATTTGTGCCAAGAAAATAATAATAATATCGGAGTTCTCGAGTGCGGGCATGAATACCATTCCAATTGCATCCGACGATGGCTGCGCCTGAAGAACTTTTGTCCGCTATGTAAATCCGTCGCGTTTAAGTGTCGTCCTGTACGTAGTCCATGTTAATTAATCATGAAATGTTCGATTGGCTCGGTTTCGTTGTTATATAACTTTTTTTTTTTTTTTTTTTGTGTAGTTTAGGTATCATCCAATTATGTAATTCTTATGTATTCCTTTGTGTTTTTTTTATATAACAGTTAATGTAAAAGTTTATTAATTCGATTATATTGCTTCCTTCTGATTTCTGGACACCAGTTTACAATTGATGTATATTAATTTAATTCAAAGAACATTATCTATAAATTTGTATTTTCTAATACAATATAAATACTAGTAAATAAGATCTATATATGTACTATGTACATGATGTAACTTACTGCAAAGTTTCTTGACCATCCTATGATCAAAACGAGTTTTAATTCCATCATCGTTCCGTTAATTGCAATTAGGGCTAGAAATCGGATATATGGATCAGATCGGATATGGCCCTTTCGGAAATTTTCTGTTTTTTTTTTTCTGATTCAGATTCACATTTTTTTTTTTTTTTTGCTTATTTTACCAAGGACAACCCAAATAATATTAGTGTTTCAATCACAAATACCACTAGAAAAAACAACAAAAAACCTAGTTTTACCGTGGGTGCAAAATTTGGAGTTAGAAAATGAAATTCAGACTATGAATACTTCTAAGATTTAAACAGCATAAATCAAAACTTCGATTAGGGTAAGAAATACTTACGAGCAACAACTTTTGTCCGCATCTTCACTAGTGGAAAAATGACTTTTTACTACGATTTTTTCTTCCTACGGTAAAAAGTCGTAACAAAAGGTATCTCTTGCTACGGGACGATCTTGGAGTCGTGGTAAATGCTAGGATTTACTCTAGCAAAAAAATATTTGCTACGGTCATTTACTGTAGCAAAGTTT